ATGGAGTTTCACCCTCGTCACCCAGGCTAGAGTGCAATGGCACGATCTCGGCTCACCACAACCTCTGCCTCCCAAGTTCAAGTGATTCTCCCGCCTCAACCTCCCGAGTAACTGGGATTACAGGCATGTGCCACCACGCCTGGCTAATTTTGTGTTTTTAGTAGAGACAGGGTTTCTCCGTGTTGGTCAGGCTGGTCTCAAACTCCCGACCTCAGGTGATCCGCCTGCCTTGGCCTCCCAAAGTGCTGGGATTAGAGGCATGAGCCACCGCACAGGGCCTAAAAATTCTTACACTACGATAAGCACGGAGATGCAGATCCCCAACATAAATCCAGTTGCTGCTGTATGTGAGCCCATGATGTATGTGCAGTGCTCACAGCAACCCTGCGTGGTACAGACGTCGTCTGATTACCCATTTTACTGATGAAGAAAATTAATCGTGGATGAAGAGGTTGTAGGGCATGCAACCTTTTGCCAGAGCCCCTTCAGGCTGCATCTTGGAAAGTTCCCCACCGGCTGCCTCGCGTGCTTCCTGCTGCAGCCGGTCGAGCTCAGTCCTTCAAGGAGGGGTGGAGAGTGCTAGAGCGGGAAGGGCTTTCGAGTTGCAGATGGTGCAGATTATATATAAAATGGTTGTCCTCTCAAGTGATTTTTCTCAACTTCCTGAAAATCATCTTCACATTTGCTTAGTGCTGAGTCCTTTGACCTTCTGCAGCTTTTGAAACCTGACACGTGATTTCGCCATCTTATGTACAACTGTGCTCATGTTCCTCCTTCTTCCCCATCCCCCTAGGGTCTGTTGCTGACCATGACCAAGCCGATGCCCCTGCGAGCTCAGGTCCTCAGCACAATTGGCAACACCACACAGAGGTGGATGTCTCCATGCCTTCGAGGTCCACAGCACCTCTGTGTGGTCGCCTGTTCATTGTCCGTTCTCTCTGCCCTTTGCCTGCCTCTCCTGACCGCACGCACCTCCACACGAGAGCTACTGAAACGGCAGGAGAACCTTTGCTCTTCATAGCTGGAGTAGAGAAGGACTGATGAGAGCCCGAACTTGCATTTTACATATTTATTTCATATGCTTATTTATGTTAATTCATATATGAGCGAAGGCAGAAAAGAGCATTTTCCCATTGGATGTTCAGTGCATTGCGTTTGCAGTGAAGCACCACTGTCCCCTCTCCTTTGTTTACAGTCGCTGCCGTCTAACGAATGACACCTGGACCTTGGGGTGCTGTGAGTGTTTTCTGAAGTGCGCATGCTCTGATAACTGTATCCTTCCTTCTCCCTAGTGGCACCCATGGGTACATGGCTCCCGAGGTGCTGCAGAAGGGGACGGCCTATGACAGCAGTGCCGACTGGTTCTCCCTGGGCTGCATGCTTTTCAAACTTCTGAGAGGGTGAGTGGAAGCGCATCCTTCTAATGCTGTGCTCATGGCAGCAGGAGCCTGGATGAAAACTGAGGATATGTAGAAATGACTAGATGCTAATGTTATTTTAAATCACACAGTGATCTTTAAGCCACGTGCTAATCTGGAAGACTGTGTCTTAGAAGAGTGAAAGCTGCTTCCTGATAAGCTGCTAGATAAAAGCTTATGGCTTCGTATTTTTATTCTATACCATGTAGGAAATCAGAATTCTTTTAAACCTAAAATTAGACTGCTTTGAATTTTTTTCTGTGATAAGCCACATTGTAGGAATAAGTATTGTTTTGAAATGTAGATAATTTAAAAAGGTAGAATAATTTTTTCCCTAGGAATTAATTATTCATCATCTTGAGCGTTTACAGAATTTTGAGAGTTACAAAAAAAGGATGAAAACCCAAAGTAAACCTATTTTATTTTATTTGTTTTTGTTTTGTTTTGTTTTTAGACAAGGTCTTTCTCTGTTGCCCGGCTGCAGTGCAGTGACACAAACATGGCTCACTGTAGCCTCGACCTCATAGGCTCAAGCAATCCTTCCACCTCAGCCTCAGTCTCCTGAGTGGCTGGGACTACAGACACTCACCACCACACCTGGCTAATTTTTTAATTTTTTTAGAGATAAGGTCTTGCCATGTTGCCCAGGCTGGTCTCGAACTCCTGGCCTCAAGCCATCCTCCCACCTCAGCCTCCCAAAGTGCTGGGATTAAAGGCATAAGCCACCACACCTAGCCGGTAAACCCATTTTAAAAAGCTTGCATTTATTGGGGAAAATGCTGAAATTAATTTGTCTTTTAAAGCTAGTAGTATACTTGGCCCTTGTTCTGAACTACCAAAGATGATGAAATAAAGTAGAAAAGATTATGAGAGGAAAGTACTCTCAAAATATGTTCTCATGTTAAACACTTAACAATTATGTTAATGTTTCCATTAATTCTAAGACTTTTAGCCAATTTTAATGGAAAGCTTCAATTAAATTTTTGTTTATTCAGACTCATAAAGCATTTTACATTAAAATTTCCTAGTTAATGATTTTCCTGTTAATATTTTCATATGAACACAGTCCTGATAGTTTGCTAAACGTTGCACCTTTCCATCGGAGAGCCTAAGTGAGCACCACTGCATTTTATTACATTTAGCACATCCTGGAGAGAGGCTGAATTCCACATTCCCCCAAAACTCGGTTCTGAGCACCCTCTGTTTTGTCAAGACTCTGATAATCCAGTTGTTCTCTGCTTTGCATTCACTTGTGATCTAAAATTGTATTATTGCTTAGAAAGTCGGGTTCTGTTATTCCTTAATTGAATTATTGTATTTGTGGAGCCTGGATGGCTTTAATTCATGTCATCAGACTAGCTGACCTAATTAGAGAGTTTATCTAAGCAAACCAGAGAAAGCCATTTCCCCTATGAGATGCTGTTCTCCCCAGTGGAGTCGCTTCTATGCATATGGAGTGCATGAAGACACCCAGGAGGTCTTTATTTTGGATCTCTGCTGGAGATGTGGTTGGAGACAAACAGCCCCTACCTACAGAATTTGGAGATGATTAAAAAAAAAAAACTCTATGTAACAGCTGAACTGTTGAATGCAAAAATCAGCAGTAAAATCGGACAATCCCAGAAGCCTTGTATCTAGGACTTTGTGTACTTCTCTGTTTTGTGACTCTAGCTGTTCAAATGTCTGTGCATATAGGCTGGAGAGGATGTGGTGTAACACTACTTCACTTTTTAAAAGACTGGAGGGTTTTGTTCAATAACTCTGCCTGCTCCAACAGTGTGGTTTGTGGCTAATAAAATGAATTCAGTCTAATTTCGCTATAATTCAGCTTTGGTGTACTGAACTGGAAGATATCAATTCCTTTGTGAAATCCTCCACCGGTCTTGATGGAAGCATTATGGTCAGTGGGGCTCCTGCCGAAAAGAGTCTTGACAGAAAGAAGACGTCCTGAGGATGGCTGTGAGGATGGGATGGATGGATGAAATGAATGGAGAGTGGTAAAATAGCTAGAAATGATGGCTTCTGTGGAAAGACTGAAAGAGCTGAGTGCAGAACTTAGGGGAGCGTATGGTTGACTCCAGCTGCCGGAAGGCCATCTTGTTGAAGGGATCATATGCATACTGTGTAACTCCAGAGGGATGCATTTTGAGGAGAAAAAAGATTGCAGTTTGATACAAGAATGTCCAGTCGTTTGAGCTACCCAATGAAGGAGAGTTCTGCCTCATGGATAGCAGGCTCCTTGTCACTGTCTGGTGTCCATTGATTGATCCTGAAGTGGAAGGAATCTTTCCAGTGTGTGATAGATAGGATTAGATGAATCTCCTCCACTAGGATTTATTATCTCGTGCCATTCCTCCTATTGTTTATTCAGAAGTCACTCACAGATAGGATATAGCACTGAAGCCAAAAAGCAGGAAACATTTTTGACTTAAATGATTGAAATTAAATGTGATAAGCATCTATTGAGTACCTGTAATATACAAGAGACTGTGCTTGATGCTGTGGGGAAAGGAAAGGGGTAAGGAAGGAATAAAGGAGGAGAGAGGGAGGAAGGGAGGAAGGAGAGGGAGGGAGGAGGGAAGGTGAAAGGGAAGGAGGAAGGAAGGTGAAAGGGAGGAAGGAGAGGGAGGAAGGAAGGAAGAAGGGAGAGAGGAAGAGAGGGAGGGAGGGAGAAAGGGAGGGAAGGAAAGAGGAAGGAAGAAGAGGGAAGAGAGGGAGAAAAGGGAAGGAAGGAAGGAAGGGGGGGAGGGAGGGAGGGAAAGAAGGAAAGAAGAAGGGAAAGAAGGAAGGAAGAAAGCCGACCAGCCAGGAAGAGAGACACACAAAATCCTTGAGGGATAGGCAGTCCAGGAGAGTAGCTATTGATACACACACCGTATCAGGAGCTGGCCGAGCTGTGCTGACTTCAACAGGAGCGATGTGCTGGGAGCACAGACATGGGAGAAGCAGTTCTAACCTGGAAGTGTTGGGTTGACCTCATGTGGGAGATGGTCTGTGGAGGAGATTTTGAAGATAGATAGGATGACAATACAAAGCCTCGAAGCAGAGGAAATATCAGCTTTCTATGGTTCTCAAGAGGGAGGAAGTACTGCAGGAGAAGGCTCAGATGGTTGGGTCAGCACTGGGAGGACCTCGGATGCAGTGCTGGGAAGTTTGACCTTTATCCTCCAGGCCCCGAGGCTGAAAGCTTTTCAGTGGAGCAGCGGCAGGATTGGATGGCTTTTCAGTAAGATTATTCTGGAAGCAGCCTGGAGCAATGGAGGGACTGAGACAGGGTGCAGGCAGAAGAATGTGAGCAAAAGGCAGTGAGCTTGCACAGCAGCCCTGGAACCTGACAGGAGCAGATGACACGGCGGTATTGCGGAGTTAGCATCCGTAGTGCTTCAGTGTTTTCGTGGGGTGTGTGTTGTTGTTGTTGTTTTTTTAAATAGATGGTTGGATATGGAAGGATAGGAGTTAAACATGGTGTAATTTAGATTCCAGATGATTGGGAGAATAACGATGTCATTACTAAAATCAGTGTCTGTGAATTTTCAGTGATTCACGTGAAACTGAAGTGTCTGGAGGGCCTTTCAGGAGCAAAGCCCTGTGGCGAGGCGGGCAGGAGGTGGGACTGTGTGCAGGAGCCTTCACTGCCTCAGCTGTGAACAAGGGGATAATGCCACCTGTTCTACTTCCTCACAAAGTTGCATGTGGGAGAACCTCAGAAATCTGCCTCTCAGCCTCCTGTGCATTTTTCCTATGCTGTGTACAAGGGAGCCCCTGGCAGCTGTCTTTTCTCAGGCACACGGAGCCTAAGAAATCAACTGAGTGGAGGAGGAGATTGACTAGGCAGGGTCTCCGAGGCACAGGCTTGGGCACAGTCCCCTCTACATCCTGACACTCTCCTGGAGCGCCGTCCTCAACCCTGGGGGACACTGGGCAATGGCTGGAGGCATTCTTGGTCATCATAACTTCGGGGGGGGCTGTTACTTGGCATCCCCTAAGTAGAGGCCAAGGATGCTGCTCAACATCCTATGAGGCACAGGACAGCCCCTGCAACACCCCGACAAAGAATTATTTAGCCCTAAATGTCAACAGTGCGGAGGGTGAGGACCACTGCCCCAGAGCAAGTGCCCCTCCCTCCTCCCACAGCTGTGCAGTGAAGTTGAATCAGTGGCCACCAAGGAAGGGTCTTTCTATTTTCTCTTTATTTTATTTTATTTTTTTTTATTTTTTTTGAGACAGAGTCTCGCTCTGTCGCCGGGGCTGGAGTGCAGTGGCGCGATCTCAGCTCACTGCAAGCTCCGCCTCCCGGGTTCACGCCATTCTCCTACCTCAGCCTCCCAAGTAGCTGGGACTACAGGCGCCCGCCACCACGCCTGGCTAATTTTTTGTATTTTTAGTAGAGACGGGGTTTCACCGTGTTAGCCAGGATGGTCTCAATCTCCTGACCTCGTAATCCGCCCGCCTCGGCCTCACAAAATGCTGGGATCACAGGCGTGAGCCACCGCGCCTGGCCGGTCTTTCTATTTTCTGTGATTTAATCCTCCTTGCTCTGACCAACATGTCCCCTTGCTTCGACCAATGTGCCCCCTTGCTTCTGCTGAAACACTTTTCTGTACACTTCATTTTGTCTTCATCCCCTACAAGAATACTGCAAGGCACTTGGAGAAGGAGTCTGGATGGGAGAAAGTTGTCAAGGCTTGAGAAGGCGTTTTGCGTCCGTGGACTCACAGTGATTGACTGGGCCATTCATATGCCCCATCTGTGGGTGCTGGTCACTACTGCTATTTCAGATGACTTTGTCAGATACTTAAGAGTGTCTGTGTATGAAGATGCATCTATGTTGCAAATCTGTGTAGCTGCTGTCCTGATCTTCACCTAGACTTAAGATGTCTGTTAAGGAAATCAATTGATGTGACAGTGGCCTCCATCTTAAGCTTGTCACTGTTGATTGTCTGCCTGTGGAGTTGTCAGATATGAGGAGAGAGCCTGGGCAGTGGCCTAGGGAGAACTGAGTGCTGCTGGCGCTATTGAGTTTGTTCCAGGCTGGGGAAAAAGGAAAGTTTATAAATATTTTGACAGCTACTGGCTTAGGTTTGAAATGTACATTTAATATAACACGCCATCTTTTGAGTATTTTATAATTAACTTTTGATGTGAGAGTTTTTAATTGCATAAGTTTTTGAACCCATTGTTTCCCCATGAAAATGATGTGTAGAGCTAACTTTGTGGGGGCTGTGTTTCCTCATCATTTATAATGTCCTGAACAATTTTCCAGTTCATTTAGGGGAAACGTGCAGCTGTTCCATTCTATCTGTAGTTCAGAAAGCTACACTTGACCACAGGACATGTGAATTCTTTTCCCACAGCATTCCCTGATGCAGCCAGCGTGTTGCACGGGAAGAGCTTGGCCGTGCCTTGGAAGCTGTTGACAGGCCTGTTACTGTCTCCTATTTAAAGCGGCTGCATCAGGGAGCAGCTGCGATCGCACAGGATCTGTGCGCACCACGTGCCTCCCTCAGAATGGAGATTATTACTATCATAGGTTTTCTTTAACGTTTTTCAAAATAGAAACCAAGTCTTTGGCTTTGTTCACAAAGAATAATCAAGAATACATTGGAAACAGATGTGCATCAAGATTTCAACTTGAAAGCCCAAGCTGTCTGAACATGGCAGCGTAGAATTGAATAGCTGAAGAGCGTTTTCTGATAATTTCTCCTTGAGCCGGACATGGAATCGCTATATTTATAAATGGAATTTGTAGCAATGGGGCCCATGTGCTGGAAATGGTTTTGGCACCACTAACTTTAACTCCAAGTCCCCTCACAAGCCTCCCTATGGTCTCATGAAAGACTTTTTAAATTTAGCACAGAGTGCTTGTGTCAGAACACAGCAGGCCGCAAGGACACGGGGACCAGATGCAGGAGTGGGGTCCTCTGGCTTTGCACGCAGGAGCCAGGTCTGAGGGATTTGTCAAAACACCAGGGGATCTTCACTTAATCCCTTTTTATACGTTAAGGAACTTCGTGGGGTGGAAACAGCTAAGTGTCAAGCAGGGAGACTACGGTTTTCGTAAGATGTGATAAACTTTCATTCCTTTTCTCTGCAACTGTAAACACCTTAATATTTCCATGGATTTTGTATAAAAGAATGATACAAGTATGTTTTTAAAAATTATAAATAACAGATATTGTTTGCTTTTATAGCTGCTTTTTAAATGTGGTAATTGTACATTTTTTTCCTTGGAAATAAGGCAAAAAGAATATTTCCAATCAAAATCTGTTTTAAAAGTTAAATGCTTGCTGGGTGCTAATTTACCTTGTTTTGATCTTTTTTTTTTTTCCCTCCAGATTAATGCTTTTAAGAGATGGCAATTAGTTTGTATTTCACGGCATGATATGGAAGGAAATAAAGGACTAGAGTGCCCTCTCTTGTACAAAAATAAAATTAAAGTGTTTCAGACAATAAATGGTCTGAAATGTAATAATCTCAAAAGATAGTTCAATGTATAACCTAATTAATTCAGTAGGATGACCAGGTCAGTAGCAGTAAGTAGCAGTGCAAGATAAGTGACATTTTCATTCTTTTTTAGAATCTCACTGATTTATGTATTCAACATTCTAATCCATTTTACGGAGTTAATATTAAAATATTTTACATAATATCCTGCCTGCCTCAGATTATGTCATATATGCCTTATAAATAAATTTATAAGATTACTACTTACCAGGCACATCTTGCTATAAAAAAACTCAATCATATCTGTCCCTTTAATTTTCAGAATGAAAAATCAACCACGGTATTCTAGTTTGCATATTTAATAGTGTCTTTTAATGATAAGATTTCCTTTGAAAACCAGCGTCTCCAAAATTTTAAAAACATGAGAAAGAGTAAAAGTAATCTGTTTTACACAGTTCACCAAGTAGACATTCATTTCCTGAAGTCAGAGTTATCTTTATTAATTTCACCAGTGATTACTGTATTAGGTACCTACTGTGTACTGCCATTGTCTTGGCTACTTGCATAGATGTCACTTTACTTTTTCCCTTCACCACTTCCGTGAAGTATGCGGCTTGATCCCCACTTCACAGATGAAGAATTGATACTGAAGGTTTCTATCTGGCTGACAGTCAGTAGACAGTCAAGTCGCAACTTGAACCCAGCTTTTGTGACTCTGGAGTCTGGGGTTCTGCACAGGGAAAGCAGGAAGTACGCAGAGCGGTGAAGAATCTGCTGGTGCATGGTTAGTTTCTGTTTTCATCCAAAGGATGTATTACTTAAAATGACTGGTTTCTAGGGGTGAATCGTTTCATCTCCTTCATGTTTTGGTTCAACTGCTATTCCTGGGGCTGTTTGAGGAAACAATCTCTATTTTCCTGAAAAATGTACATGAAAGTTATTGTTTAGCTCAGACTCTCATATGACAAATGTTATATAAATGACTTTTATTCTCATGATTACCTGTTGGCTAGTTGTATATTCTTTTCTAATGATATTTCCATTGGGACAGTGTGTTTTAGGGCCACAAGTTCACTGAAGTGAGACTCAGGCAGTTCAAGTGAGATACAAGTCTTTCTATTTCAGGACCTAACGTTTGTTTGCCAATTCTTCCATGGAAATGATAAATGTTTATGACTTTTGCATTTCTCCAGTTTTGAATGAATAGTGATAGGACATCATACTTTACCCAAATATTAGTCAGTGATATGTGCTATATCACCTGATGCCATATTTTAATAGAACAATTCTTTATTTCTACAGTCACAGCCCTTTCAGACAACATAAAACCAAAGACAAGCATGAAATTGACCGAATGACACTCACCGTGGTAAGGGATTCAAAACTGTATTCTTGTCTGCATGGTAATTGTCATGCTTCGTTCCATCAATAATAAAAAATGCTATTACATAAAATATTATAGGAAATATAAAATTATGTATAAACATAATAAAAATTTGCTTTCTTGAAACAAATAAATGCAGATACAATTTCTAAAAGAATTTCTAGGAGAAAAATTAATGGAAATAGATGCCAAGGCAAAAATCAGGATTTACTAACAAACAGTATGAGGAAGCTAAAGAAAATCGAGAACCAGAAGTAAAGAAATCAAAGAAAGGAGAAATTACTGAGATGTCAACGAATGAGAATGCCTTCTGGTTCTTCTGATCTGCCCCCAGCCACTTTGATTTTGCAACTGATTAGTTACCTTTTTATGTGTCTATAGAGTAAATATTAATTCATAATGAGGCTGCAATTTTTAATACTATTCTTAGCCCAGTAATAGCCTTTAAATCTGGTTGAGTATTAGGATACTGTTTCCATGAACAGATTTTTGAAATCTTACTCTTTTCCCCAGAATGTGGAACTTCCAGACACCTTCTCTCCTGAACTGAAGTCCCTTTTGGAGGGCTTGCTTCAGCGAGACGTTAGCAAGCGGCTGGGCTGTCACGGAGGCGGGTAGGTCATTGTTCCTGCCTTTCGGTATCTTTACCAGAAGAGCAAAAGAGTGATTTTAAATACTGCCTATCAAAAGTCATCCCTAGTCATTAAAATCTTCCATTTTGATGTGAAAGGGGGAAAAAAAAATCACATAGGAAATACACATATATTGTCCTATGTGTTTTATAATTAAGAAGTTGAAGAAGTCACTCACTTTTTTACTTTATTTATTTTTGAGATGGAGTCTTGCCCTGTCACCCAGGCTGGAGTGCGGTGGCGCGATCTAGGCTCACTGCAACCTCCACCTCCTGGGGTTCAAGCAACTCTCCTGCCTCAGCCTCCTGAGTAGCTAGGACCACTGGTGTGTGCTACCATGCCTGGCTAATTTTTGTATTTTTAGTAGAGACAGGGTTTTGCCATGTTGGCCAGGCTGGTCTCAAACTCCTGACGTCAGGTGATCCACCTGCCTTGGCTTCTAAAAGTGCTGGGATTATAGGTGTGAGCCACTGGGGCCAGCTCAGTTTTTAACTTTTAAAGATTGACCTTGTAGATGACAGAAATGAATTCTGATATTTTGTAGTCCATTTGTTTTTTAGCGATGGTTATATTTGTGATTGTGGCAGTTTAACATTCTGATCAGATTCTCACATATTTCTCTCATGCAGAAATGAGTAACTGTGATCTAACACATGCTCACTATTCTCCTGCCTCAAAACACTCTGAACAGTAATATCTGGAAATCTTATAGAGAGGGACTTAAGACAGACCTTTCTCCTGTATCTCTTTACCCCCAGGCTTGCTTGGCATAAGAAATAACTTTTAACTGTATATTACCTATATGTATATCATACATATGTGTATGTATTTTTAGTGTGCATATTATACATATAAGCATTTTGCATAGATAGCTAAATAATGTACTTATATATGAGTATGTCCTTATTTATCAATTTGCAAAATTACCTATTCCTGCTATAATAGATGAAGATTTAGCTCACCCATTACCATCTCTGTAGCCTTCGCTTCCTCCACCTCTCAAAAGTTGAAATGCTATTTTGGGCTCCTCTTTTGCTTGCCTCTGTAGCTTTAAATTCTGTGCTTAACCCGGTCGTGCCTTTTTCCAACTATAAACAGTATCTAAGTTGAGGATTTTGACATTCCTGTCTTTCATTGACTTCTTCTGTCTCATGTTCTTTCATGTTAATTTTTATTTTTACGTTATCAAGATGATACTGCTTTCTATTCTGTGACATATTCAATCTTTGTGCTTTGCATATAGGTTGATTTCAAAGGTTGCAAATGAAGAAGGGGTATTTATACTCTTATGGAATCAAAAATGTTGTTCATTACATAGTTTCTACTTAGCCTGGTAATAAACCTTAAGTCGGCCGGGCGCGGTGGCTCAAGCCTGTAATCCCAGCACTTTGGGAGGCCGAGACGGGTGGATCACAAGGTCAGGAGATTGAGACCATCCTGGCTAACACGGTGAAACCCCGTCTCTACTAAAAAAATACAAAAAAACTAGCCGGGCGAGGTGGCGGGCGCCTGTAGTCCCAGCTACTCGGGAGGCTGAGGCAGGAGAATGGCGTGAACCCGGGAGGTGGAGCTTGCAGTGAGCTGAGATCGCGCCACTGCACTCCAGCCTGGGCGACAGAGCAAGACTCCGTCTCAAAAAATAAAAATAAAAATAAAAAAAAAAACCTTAAGTTAGTTTTTTATATATATATAAAATATATGATATATATATAAAATATGATATCGCGCGCTCTCTCTCTCTCTCAGAACAGAATATGATAGTTGTGGACTTTGTTTTCCCTGATGTTTCTTTCGGGAGGGACTCAGCCTGCAGCTGCAGTGAGACAGAGGTGCTCTCTTTCTGCTGATTGGCATCGTCTCACCCAACACTTCCCTTTCCAGTCTCCTGGTCTGAATCTGCCATTCACTCGATTCCCTGCCTCCTGCTCTATTTCGGCTAGATATGGAATTCTAAGTAAATAACAATTTTCCCCCAGAACTTTGAAGCTCTTGCTTTATTGTGTACAAGCGAACAGTCGTGCAGGTCATGGAGCTAGGTTACCACTCACGCTGGCAGGCACATAGCATCCCTCGTGCTTGGAGGCTCGTGCTCTTCAGCTTGGAGACCACCCTTACTTTACTTATTTGACATTTATCCTCCTCCGTTTCTCGTAGAACTCTTATTAGCCAGATGCTGGGATTCCTTTCTAGATTTGGGCCTCTGTGCTCCTGATCTTGTATATTATCTGTATCTTTGCTTTAATTCTTTGTTTTACTTGCCAATAGCATACATTTTCAACCCGTTTATTCATTTCTTTCTAAAAATCTTTAGCAGGTTTAATTTCTTAAAAGTAGAACCTTTCAGGGGTTTTACCCCGTGTTAGAGTAAACACCTTGCTGCAGGTTTCTGGAGTTGGGTGTGGGGGAAGGAAGTACAGCGGGTATGGGTGTGCATGTGTGTGCGTGTGCAGCTCAATGTCCAGAGCTCCAGTCCTGTGTCTCATCCCCCAGCCACACACTGTGGTGAACTGGAGCTCAGCATGCTGGCTCCGTCTCCAGGGCAGTAGCTCTGCCCTGCTTTGCTGTCAGTCACTGCCCCTGTGTCAGCATCCCCTCTTGTCTGCTGATGGCCCTCTCTCTCTCTCGTGGTGGATTTATTTTTTTAATATTTATTTTTACTTTTTATTTTTTTGACATTGAGTCTCGCTCTGTTACCCAGGTTGGAGTGCAGTGGCACAGTCTTGGCTCACTGCAACGCCTGCCTCCCAGATCAGGTGATTCTCCTGCCTCAGCTTCCCAAGTAGCTGGGAATACAGGTGTGCACCACCACACCCAGCTAACTTTTGTATTTGTAGTAGAGACGGGGTTTCGCCATGTTGGCGAGGCTGGTCTTGAACTCCTGACCTCAAGTGATCTGCCCGCCTTGGCCTCCCAAAGTGCTGGGATTACAGGCATGAGTCACTGCATCCGGCCTATTTTTGTTTTTTAAAAGAGATAGTATCTCACTCTGTCCCCCAGGCTGGAGTTCTATGACATGATCATAGCTCACTCCAGCCCCAAACTCCTGGGCTCAAGTAATCCTTTGGCCTCAGCCTCCTGAGTAGCTGGGACCACAGGCCCACATTACCATGCCTGGCTAACATTCTTTTTTTTTAATAGAGAAGGGGTCTTGCTATGTTGCCCAGATGGTTGCCCAGATGGGTCATGAACTGCTGGCCTCAAGTGATCTTCCCCTCTTATCCCCCAAAGAGCTAGGATTACAGGTGTGAGCCACTGTGCCTGGCTCCTGTGGTGGGTTTATATCTCCATGTTGCTTTCCTGCCATTTCAGTGGTTACTGAGACTGTGTAAAGTTGCATGCTTGCACGCAATCCCTGGCTTGAACCAGAAACCTTCTTTCTGGGGCATTTCTAATTGCTTGGATATATGGAAGTAAATTTCTTATTTAGCGTACCACATTTCATGTGTGGACAATGATGGGTACAAAATGGAACCCACTAAGAAAATCACCGAAGTGTTTCCAGTAAAAATGCACAAGGATAACATCTGACTTGGATCCCATTCCTTCATTCAATGTCTGTTTACTGGGCACACACTGATACTACCCCGTGAAGTGGCTGAGGCAGTGCACATGGTAGGCATGGCCCCTGCCTTCCTGAAGCTCATGCGGTGGGAAAGCCATGGTGTAGAAATGTCGAGTAAGACAGGTCCAGATAGTGCGAAGCAAGACTTTGGAGAGTTTTGAGCAGAGAAGTGGTGGGTTCATTGAAGATGATTTGGGTGCTGTATGAAGTGGGATGGGGCTGCAGGTGGGCAGGACTAGAGGTCAGAGGAGGAGGCATTAGAGCAGTTTAGACAAGAGGTGCCAGGGCTCTGATGCCTCAGTGTTTCTGACGGGACGTCTATTCTTTCTTCCCTGCCCACAAATGCCGGTAGCACCCTAAGCAGGAATCACCACCCCTGGCTAGGCACGGTAGCTCACGCCTGTAATACCAGTACTTTGGGAGGCCGAGGTGGGCGGATCACAAGGTCAGGAGTTTGAGACCAGCCTGACCAACATGCTGAAACCCTGTCTCTACTAAAAATACAATAATAATAATAGTAATAATAATAATAATTAGCTGGACATGGTGGTACATGCCTGTAATCCCAGCTACTCAGGAGGCTGAGGCAGGAGAATCGCTTGAACCCGGGAGGCGGAGGTTGCAGTGAGCTGAGATCACACCACTGCACTCCAGCCTGGGTGACAGAGAGAGACTGCATCTCAAAAAAAAAAAATAATAATAATAATAAATAAATACATAAATAAAAATAAATTAAAAAAAAAAAGGAAGAAAAGAGCGACCACCCCTAAGCGAGAGTGTCGTGAGGATGGGAGGTGGTAGGAAGTAGTCACGTCTGGGTCTGGCCGAGGGGTGGCTGTGAAGCCTGAGGGAAGACAAGCATCCAGGACCATCCTGCCTGGGCCTGTGCAGGAGCAGTGCGGAGAGGGCTGCTTTAGACCTGCCTGCGTCCTCTGAGTGGGCTGGGGAGTAGGACTGTCCTGGAACACAGGGCACAGGTTGGTGCTTGGGATACAGATTTAGGAGTCCTATAAGGACACTCAAGCTCTGGGCTGGGCGAGATGCCCCAGGGACTGACTACAGAAGGGCCCCAAGAAGCAGCCTTGAGCTCTGTGACAGGACGTGGAGAGACAGTCAGTGGCATGTGCTGGGAGTGCTGCTCCCCGACGCAGGCTTTTCCTTGGAGTGTGCAACTTTTTTTTTTTTTTTTCCTGGCGACAGGTTCTCACTGTGTCACCCAGGCTGGAGTGCAGGGGCACAATCTCGGCTCACTGCAACCTCCGCTTCCCAGGTTCAAGCAATTCTCCTGCCTCAACCTCCCAAGTAGCTGAGACTACAGGCGCCCACCACCACGCCCAGCTAATTTTTTGTATTTTAATCAAGACAGGGTTTCATTGTGTTGCCCAGACTGGTCTCGAACTCCTGAGCTCAGGCGATCCACCCACCTTGGCCTCCCATAGTGCTAAGATTACAGGCATGAGGCACTATGCCTGGCCAACTTTTGCTCTGGGTACTCTGAGTTTTAATCATGACCTTCAAGAAAACTTGTTTCTTCAATTTATTTTTTATTTCTATTCTTATTTTTATTTTTGAGACGGAGTCTCACTCTGTCGCCCAGGCTGGAGTGCGGTGGCGTGAACTCGGCTCACTGCAAGCTCCACCTCCTGGGTTCACACCATTCTCCTGCCTCAGCCTCCCAAGTAGCTGGCACTACAGGCACCCGCCACCATGCCTGGCTAGTTTTTTTTTGTATTTTTAGTAGAGACGGGGTTTCACCGTGTTAGTCAGGATGGGTTTCTTCAATTTATAAAGGATTTTGGTATACATTATATTATTAGATCTCTTGTTTGCTTCTGAGTAGATGTGGTGCTTCACATTCCTGTCATTTTCCTATTATATTATCTATTGTGATGTGTAAATATTTGCTATAAATTTCTTTAATGTATAGATATCCAATTTAATTCTCATTTTCAGTTATGTTCTCATGACTATAGAATTATTGAACGTGTGTGTGCGTGTGTGTATATATATCTGTGAAAATTTCTAGGTTATTTTAAACTGTAATAACTATCCCAAATAAATGATCATATGGGATAATATTCCCAGGCGCTGCATGCAGTATTCTAAACATCATAGCATTCCTCCTGTTGTTTTGCAGGAAGCGTATTTATTTGCTTTCTTAAAGGAAAAACTGGAAATACTTGTTCCACTGCGTCGTTAACAGGAGACAGTTTTGCACAGTATTTCTTATGTTTCCAAATGCATACTTAGCACTGTTATGACTCTTTCTCCTCCAGCTCACAGGAAGTAAAAGAGCACAGCTTTTTCAAAGGTGTTGACTGGCAGCATGTCTACTTACAAAAGGTACTCCCTCCATCTGGGGCTCAACTTTGGGTACTGCCGCCCTGACACACTCATCTCTGTCTCAGTTTCTGTCTCTGTCTCTCTATGCACTGATGGCTTCCTGGCTCTGTCTCCCCAGCATCCCCGCCACCCACCTCCCCCAGCATCCTGTGTCCGCAGTGCCGTGGTACCCAAGAGTTACCATGCAGCCAATTCCCTTTGGGGCACTCTCTCACTCTTTGTTTCCCTAGTATAAACATTTTGAAAATATCTCCTGTATCAACTTATACAGGGTAAAATGGAGCTATTATCTAGTTAATTCAAATGCACATATAATTGAGCCGTTTTTAGTTTTTGCTCTTCTTCTTGAATTCTTATCTCAACGTGACTGTATTTTTACATAGATCTCTATAAAATGTACCTGAAACTTCTGCCATAAATGTATGTATATTTTCTAGCCCAATACTACATAAGAATGAGCATGATTTTGTATCAGGATAATTTCCTTTCCTTATTTTAAGCTTCATGATATTTGCGTTGATACAGGAAACACCCCGAATTCAATTTTCAGAAAAATGTTGATTATCAGCTTTAGATTCGCTTTGCATGAACTCAAGCTGCCGAGAAATGATGATTTTCTCTAGTAAAGAAAGACTAATCTGTTAGTCCTACCGAATTAGAGTTCGACCTCTGGGTCAGTTAACATGTACCTCAGGGTGTTCGCAGGTGTGCCCTGCTCCCTCTAGGCCCCGTTGTCTCTTGTGGTTCTAGCAACCTGAAGGTGGTGTTGCGTCCTCTCAGAGAATGTGCTTTCTTAAGCTGAGCTGGATGGATATGCAGTGCTGAGATTTTGTTATATTTGAAAATTATTTAAGGCTTTGGACATGAATCCTGTTTTTCTTTAATTTGTCTAAAATCTAGGGCCTTCCTTTGGGGCTATTCAGTGCAGAGGCTTTTCTACACAATATGAAATGTGATTTGTTACAAGCTTGAATGACATGCTGCGCAGTGTAGCATGCGGATATCTGGCACTGTGCTGTCTTTGTGGAATGTTAGGTTGGGACGGGACCATACGATCATCTGATAACTGTACCATGCTTATTTGGATCTTCCAGTACCCGCCACCCTTGATTCCTCCCCGGGGAGAAGTCAATGCTGCTGATGCCTTTGATATTGGCTCATTTGATGAAGAGGATACCAAAGGGATTAAGGTACACATGCGATCACTTATTTCTTTATTTTTATTTTTGGATGGGGGGATTTCTGTTGGAAATCAAACTTAGTGGTTGTTTTAATATTGGGCTGTTTGTAGTATTTAGCCTACAAATGAGTATCAACATATTTGAAGAATGTGTAAGTTAAGGACCTAAATTAAAGGCTTTGAAAGCTTTCTTCAGACTAATAGTTTTATTTCTGAGGAACTGCAAGATAAAATGTTTATTGATTTGGAATATTTGTGATTGAAATAAAACTTGAATTGTACCTGAAACAGGAAAAACAGCTGTGTGATATCAAACATACTTCCCTAGTGCAAAAGAGCCAACTGTCTCAGTTCTTCTAAGTTTTTAGATCTCCCCACGTTAGGATGAAAGAGCAAACAGCATGAATCATTTTGCATTTGTCAGTCAAAGGTGAAATAATCACTGTTTTTTTTAAATACAGTCCTCTGCCTTTTTTGAACTTTCTTTCATATTGTCATTCCCCCAAGTAGACAAGACATAATTAGAGATGGTGAGTCATGAGAGAAGATCATCCTGTTTAAGATGCTGGGTCAAAGCATATCACTACATCAAGCTCTCACCTACCCCCATGCTGGCAGCTTGCCCCAGGCTCTCCCCACTGCCCCCGGGCCTCCCCTGTTCTTCTTAGCTGCCCCCATTTACACCCTTCTGACACTAACCCTCCTTGCCTTCCCCACCAAGTGCCTTCCTTCTCCAGAAGGCTGCAGCACTATTAAAACACACGCCTGTGAGGTGTAAATAAAAGAGTGACAAGTAAAATGCAAGGGCCTAGCAGGAGCTGTAACCGGAGACACATAGGACTTGGACCAACTAGGCTGTGGGACAGAAAAGGCAGTAAATGGCTGGAGGAAGACGGGAGGATTGCGGGGAAGGAGAGCAGCTATCGGGAGCAGCATGTACAGGCTAAGTGCACCTGGGGAACCCAGTGGCAGCTGGTCAGAGCTAGGGGCCCCAGGAGACGAGGGGCTGGGCCATGATGATGATTAGGGTGTTCACGGGACCAGCTTCTCAGGTGTTGGAGGTTAGGCGAAGACAAAGTGCAGAGGACCCAGGTCACAGGACTATGAGGATTGCTGACCAACTGAGAGACACCCTTCTGTGGTCTGGAGCAGTGGCTGGGGTCAGCATTGAGACCGATGCCTAGACCTGTACACCAGGCATCGTCTGTAGCCGGAACCATTGATACCTGTCATGTATATGAGTATACAGCAGTGTTTTGGGGAACAATCCACTTTCAAAGGAATTTTAAAAATTTACTGCTATCACAATAGAATTTTTTCACGTGCCGTATACCACTATCTATCCATCAGAGTACTAAAAATAAAATACTGTTACGTGGGCGCCCACGAACATGTTTTGATGTTAAAAAGAGATTATCATACTTAAAAATGTTGTAAACCAAGATCCAGGCTTTGGAATCAGACAGACTGGGCTGGGGTCTGCCTCTTAGCTGAGTGAATGTGGGCCATTCTGTGACCTCGCGAGTCTTGGCTTTCTCACCTGTAAAGTGGGGGGTTTCACTGCCAAGCGTTCTCTGAGGATAAATGAGGTGGCCTGCTGAAGGCTACAGGCATATAGTCAATGCTTGACAAACCAGTAGCTTCTACTATTATGCTTTGGTTCTTCCTGAGCGAGAGCTGAGAAGGAGCACACTTAGAACAAGAAGTCCTGTCTGGTAGGGAGTCAGCTTAAGCAAGAAGCCCAGGTCCTGCCCCCGCGAGAGCTGAGTCCAGCAGGGAGGGCAGGGGACTGCATTTTAAGAAACTATCTTTTAAAAACAGCCCAAATAATACATTTTCTTTAAAAGGGTGGGGGGAAACTCACCTCATGTAAACATAAGTTTTTTTTTTTTTTTTTTAAATTCCTTTTCAGCAAGGTGGGCTCAGTCATAAAGATGAAGTCTTGCTGAAATGATAGGCGGTAGAACAGTGTCTGTTAAACAGAGTTGGCCATTTCAGAATAACTACCTGGGCAAGGAGCGTGCTTTGACTCTTTGCCAGACCGTTCAGAACCTGTCCCTGTGCGCCTGATCTCAGCTGCTCATCGGACCTTGAGGTTTTCAACACCCCATCGCTCACACACACTCACACACGCACCTCCAGTCCCATTCAGAGCAACCGAGGGGCTCAGCTATGGGCTTAGATGGAATGCCTGAAGAAAACAGAAAGAGGAAAAGCTCTACAGGTCAAAGCGACCTCAGAATCAACAGATTATTATAACAGATCAATTAGACTGGATGGAGTAGGCCCCATATTGGGTGTGGGATGCAGCTTCTTCTGGTGTTCTGTTGATCTGCTAAGGGAATGTGTGCAAGTGCCTTAGTCTCCTTGGTCTTTCTTGTCCTTGTCAGTATTTTGCCTGTTAAGATACCTACCCCTGCTTATCTTTCAAGGAGTAAGCAAACTAAGTTTCTAAGGAGGTCTGTGCTTCTAAGACAAGCATGTTTTTATCAGTAGACTTGCTAGTATTTCTGCCATAAAAAGGTAGCTCACATGCAGAAAACCATTTTCTTTGTTCATATTCAAAGTGCAGCCTTACCTAGAGGGCAGAAAGAAGAATTTTGAGTACTCGCTTGGAAGAAAAATGCTACCATTAAGTGTAATTTTTGTTACAGCAGCTCTTAAAGTCTCCGTTGCCTAAACTCTCCGTGTATCTGGAGGGTTCTCACACATGTAATTATGATGTCAAACTGCAAATAGTTGGAAGGTTCATGGAATTAATAGGAAGCTCAGCCTCATTTACCTTTTGTTTTTCTAACTTTTCAGATTAATTGAGGGTAGGTTCAAAAGCCCTCTTGGCTTCTCTCTTGTAACAGTTTTTGAAACTATAGAAACAGTTTTCCTACCTATATAAACAAACTATCCTTACCATAATTGAAATTTTACTTGGTTGTCAGAATCTCCTAGTACTTCAGGTAAAACCCCGTATATGTGAGTTTTCGTTGGCAAACATGTCATGAAGATAGTATAGAAGATTGGGCTGGACGTAGCTGATCCAGGACTGAAAGTGAAGTGCTCCCCAGTTCTGTTTGTGGATGCTGATTGCTTGAGTTGTCATTAGCAGAGATTTATGACAACTAATAACCTGCCTCGAAATGATTACTGCTGCCATCTAGTTATCTTCCTATATAGAGTTATGATTGAGTCAGCATGCATGTGGTGCCGTGGACTCTTACCTTTGTAAGTATGTTAAATCATAAACATCTTGATTTCTTAAAATAATCAGCTGCTTGATTGCGACCAAGAACTCTACAAGAACTTCCCTTTGGTCATCTCTGAACGGTGGCAGCAAGAAGTAACGGAAACAGTTTATGAAGCGGTAAATGCAGACACGGATAAAATTGAGGCCAGGAAGAGAGCTAAAAATAAGCAGCTTGGCCACGAAGAAGGTAACATAGCTCACGTGTCTCAATACATTTCTAATGCAGTAAATTTTCAGAATTTCTTGTAAAGCTGAAAAAGTCTTTGGGTCTTATGGTATTTTCCAGTCGAGAAGAAATCAATGCCGTAAATCGTTTCAGTTTGCTCTGGCTTGGAAGAGCTCAGTCTAATATTTCAAAGTCTTCAGTCAGCACACAAATAAGTCTATGGAGACAGGTGGCCGGGTTTCTTTAGTATGCCCTTTTATCTTGGAGTGCTTGGGGACTAGTTTGGAGGTTTTTTCCTTGCAGATTGAGTATGACAGCGTCAGGAGTGGGGCTGGTGTCATTGGTGTGTGCCCTGTGCAGTCATCTGGGCACCTGACTCAGTTTAGTCCTCTGTTGTCATCACCTTGAGACTCTTAGTCATTTTTAAACAAGGGGCCTGCATTTTCATTTTGCACTGGGACCCAAGAAGTATGTAGCCGGTCCTGGCAAGGAACTTAGCATGACACGTCACTTGTCAAGAGAGGTAAATGGGCCGGGCGCGGTGGCTCAAGCCTGTAATCCCAGCACTTTGGGAGGCCGAGATGGGCGGATCATGATGTCAGGAGATCGAGACCATCCTGGCTAACACGGTGAAACCCCATCTCTACTAAAAAATACAAAAACTAGCCAGGCGAGGTGGCGGGCGCCTGTAGTCCCAGCGCGGGAGGCTGAGGTGGGAGAATGGCGTGAACCCGGGAGGCAGAGCTTGCAGTGAGCTGAGATCCGGCCACTGCACTCCAGCCTGGGCGACAGAGAGAGACTCCGTCTCAAAAAAAAAAAAAAAAAAGAGAGGTAAATGTCTCCCATTCAGGTACTAACCAGACTCAACCCTGCTTAGCTTCCAAGATCAGACAAGATCGGGCATGTTAAGGGTGGTATGGCCATAGACAAAAGAGTTAAATGTATGAAGACATTTATATTACAAACAGCATTTTAAAAATTGCCAAATCAGGCCAGGTGCAGTGACTCACGTCTGTAATCCCAGTGCTTCAGGAGGCTGAGGCAGGAGGATACTTGAGTCCAGAAATCCAAGACCAGCCTGGGCAACATGATGAAACCCCATCTCTACAAAAAATAAGAATTAGCCAGGCATGGTGGTATGCGCCTGTGGTCCCAGGGACTGAGGGGCCAAGACAGGAGGATCACTTGAGCCCAGGAGGGTGTCTGCAGTGAGCTGAGATTGTGCTACTGCACCCTGACCTGAGTGACACAGCGAGAAGCTGTCTCCAAAAAAAAAAAAAAAAATTGCCAAACTGTATTTTTATGTAAATAATTCAGTGCCCTACTAAACATAACATCAAGTAAGAAACATAAGTTTTAAATAAATCAATTATTCTCGATTCACTGAATATGGTTACTCTTGATTTTTCTAAGATTTCTTGAATTTTGGATAATTTATTGTAATTGATGATTATGTTAAGATGTAATTTCATTTTCCCTCTGAGCAAAGACCCTTGCAAGGTTAACCTTATGTAACAAGAATGACCAGAAACTCTTTCACTCTATTAATAGGTTACTTTGGTGGCAGCATCTTAGTATAGGATTCCTTGGTCTTATCTGACAATTTCCCTGTATCATGTAAAGTGTCTTCGATTCTGGATGACTTACTCTGTATATAAACGTTGCCAGAATACACCAAGGGAATCCTGCATTCTTTGAACTGTGCTTACCTCAATTCTGCAGGGACACACAGCCTTTATTTGTAAGCTCTTCTTTTTTTTTTGTTTGAGACGGAGTCTTGCACTGTTGCCCAGTGGCACGATCTTGGCTCATTGCAACCTCCGCCTCCCAGGTTCAAGTAATTCTCCTGCCTCAGCCTCCCGAGTAGCTGGGATTACAGGTGCCCACCACCATGCCTGGCTAATTTTTTGTATTTTTAGTAGAGATGAGATTTCACTATGTTGGCCAGGCTGGTCTTGAACTCCTCACCTTGTGATCCGCCCGCCTCGGCCTCCCAAAGTGCTGGGATTACAGGCGTGAGCCACCACGCCCGGCCTTAAGCTCTTCTTTAGAGAACAAGTCCATTGTGATCACACTGGGCTGTGTTTGCCACAGCAGATTTTACACAGGAAATTGAATCAGTGTGGACTTGCTCAAGGCAGGGGGGGCGGGGGTCGTGATGTCACTAGAATCCTGATTAATTGGATCCAGAAATATATATATATCTTCATAAGCATGTTCAAGTATATCCTTCTAGTTAGAGCTGTAATTAGACAGAAAGTTTAGCAAATCGAGGAATTTATCTTCCTATGTTAGTAAGTAATTCGTGCATAAGTAGGTCTCGGCTGACAATCTCAGAGGTCACCTTTATAGAAAAATATAGTCTAGGCTTAGATTCCTGAAAAAAAAAAAAAAAAAACTTATAATACAGTCGGTCCTCCACGTCTCAGGTTTTGCATCTGTGGATTCGACCAGTCATGATCAAAAATATCTGGAGAAAAACAACAAGAATAACAATACAACAATAACAAAGAATGCAAATAAAAGCTATACAGCAGGGGTTCCCAACCCCGGAGGAGGGGGAGGCCGGTTAGGAACTGGGCCGCACAGCAGGAGGCACCACCTGAGCTCCGCCTCCTGTCAGATCAGCAGGGGCCTGAGATTCTCAGAGGAGTGCAAACCCTACTGTGAACTGCACACGTGAGGGATCTAGGTTATGTGCTCCTTATGAGAATCAAATGCTTGATCTGAGGTAGAACAGTTTCAACCCCAAACCATTCCTCCACCCCCGTCTGTGGAAAAATTGTCTTCCTCGAAACCGGTCCCTGGTGCCAAAAAGGTTCTGGACCAATGCTACATAGTGTAACAACTATTTATGTAGCATTTACACTGTATTAGGTTCATAAGTAAACTAGAGGTGATTTAAAGTTTGTGGGAGGATATGTGTAGGTTCTATACAAACACCATGCCATTTTAGATTGATGACTTGAACATCTACTGATTTCGGTATCTGCTAGGGTCCTGGAACCTATCCCTTGTGGATGCCAAGGGATGACTGTGCTCGTATTTTAAATAGATTTTGGAAATGCAAGCACTTCTCAGTGAAAACGACAACTCCATCCTTCCCCATCACCACTGACCCTCCCTGGCCCTCCCTCTCCTTTGTTCTTTTCCTGCTTGTCTCCAGATGACACCACATGGGTTTTACTTGTTTACTGATGGTCTGAAACTCTCACTAGATTGTAAACTCTCTGAAGCAGGCGTTTCTGTCTCTTTTGTTCTCTGCTGAACCCAGAATATCTGGAACACGCCCAGCACCTGGGCATTCATGTGATACTTGTCGAAGAAATGAGTGTGTGAGTGAATGATTTTAGCACAATCACCAAAGCCTTTAATATAGACTTTAAAATTAACCTTTCTTTTTTAAAGACACAATATTTCACGATAAAAATGTAATCAGGACTCAACAATGTGTGTGAATTATCTGTATACATAACCACATATTTGAGGAATAAACCTAACATTAAGCTGAGGAATTAACCATTTTTCATCCTTATGTTACCTTAAATTACTTGGACAAGAAAATTCCCACTATTATTATTTTTAAGATAAAAGAGAGATTAAAGGGGGAATCCCAACGCCACGTAAAGGGGAAGGTACTCTGGGGATAACTTGACTTTAAATACTCTCTATTCTCCAGTTCTCCTTATACATAATGAAAAGAGTTTGGAAACTTAACTTTTGCCCTCCCAGAGCGATAAATGAACATCATGGGTTTATCAGAATATTGAGAAGCAGCCATTCACTATGTGAGCAGAGGGAGCTGCAGAGCCCTCTGATCTTTAGATCCCCAGGACACATGCATTTAAAACGAAAATCATGACTTCTGTAATGTGTTCTGTTTATAGAAACCTGCTTTTTCCAAAAAGTATGTCTGTTCTTTTTTCAGAGAATAATGCTGCTAAGACATTTTGTTTCAGAGCCTGTTTAACTCCCAGTGATTTTGTATTCCTCAGATTACGCTCTGGGGAAGGACTGTATTATGCACGGGTACATGCTGAAACTGGGAAACCCATTTCTGACTCAGTGGCAGCGTCGCTATTTTTACCTCTTTCCAAATAGACTTGAATGGAGAGGAGAGGGAGAGTCCCGGGTAAGTCTAAGGCAGTCTCACCGAGCATGTTTCCCAGTACGTACAATGGCATATGGTTATTTCATGTTGCTGACATGTTTTATACAATATCCTCTGAAACCCTGTGTGTCTATTTTACTGGTATCCATGAGATTGTAATGTGCAAACTTCCACGTCAAGGAAGAACTTGGTAATACCTGAAAATAGAACATGCTATTTAGTGCGGTCAGAAGCACCTCATCATCAGAGGGATTTGAGGAAGGCTGGAGAGCAGTTAGGCAGATCTAAAAAGAAAAGACAAGCCGGACTTTGAAGTCGGACAGAGGTGTTCAGCTCCACTGCTGAGTGTCTCTGGGACTTTGAACACATCACACTGACTCTCTCAGCCTCCGTTTTCTCATCTGACATGAGGAAAACAGAAATCATAACAACTGCAGTCAGCCCTCCATATCCACAGGTCCCCATCCTGGGATTCAAACAACCAAGGAGAGAAAATATTCGGGAAAAAAATAGTAACACCACAACAATAAAAAGTAATACAGGAAAAAAGAAAAAAAAAACACAGTCTAACAACTGTTTACATAGCATTTATGTTAGAGGTGATTTAAAGTATACAGGAGGATGTGTGATGGTTGTATGCAAATACAATACCATTTTGTATCGGCAACTTGATCATCCGTGGATTTTGGTATTCTCGGGGGTTCCTGGAACCAGTCCTCTGGTCCTCTGTGGATACCAAGGGATGACTGTACTGTAATTTTTGCATGTTTATGTGAGGTCAAGTGCTGTTAAAAAAAAACAACAAAACAGGAGCAATAACAACAACAACAACTCCATATGTTTAGGAACATTTGAGGGTCCAACTCTCATTTTATAAAGAGGAAAAGCGGGCTTAGAGGGGGAAAGTCTGCCACCCAAAAACACAACTGGACAATTAGGAGGTAGAGGGGTGACTCAGACCAGGTTGTCCTGTGTCCTGAGTCTCTCCATTGTACGGCCTCTCCTAGTTGGGTCAAATATAATGTCCCAGGCTATGACACTTGACACAGAGGTGAGGTCACCAAAAGGTACTTCCTTGTGTCTCCACCTTGTTGAGAATTTGTAGGTGGATCATACAACAGACAGCAAGATGTAGCTGCCCTCTAAGATCCTTTCAAGAGCTAATGTTTGTGAACAAGATAAAAAGAAGTTTCCGATTCACACTGTACCTTTCAGCAAATCAGGCAGCATTTATTAAGTACCTACTGTATGAGGAGCCCAGGGCTTGTCACCAAGGAAGGAGCCAACCCTGGTGGAAGGCATCGCTTCTTTTCTTGGTGGGGGGTGGTGCCTGGTGAGTCATCAGAAGCAGGACAATGGTCCCAAACACTGAAAACATTGTTGATGTGTTGGATGTGTTGGAATACCACCCATCTGTTCTGCAGGGATCAGAAGTGTGGAAAACAGGGCACCTAAATCTCATGTATTTGACTTTGGACTGTATTTTTAGTTTACTGTTGGCAAAGTTTTCATTCAATTATGAATGATTACAATTGCATATCACCCCATTTCTTTGAAAAGAATCAAGGTCTTCCCACCATCACTCCTGCCATCAAAGTGATTTTTGAAAAATTAGAATCTAGGATCTAAGTTCCAATTAATAAGATTCTTTTGGGGACCCTGAATTGTAACTCAGGGCTGGGAAGCATCAAAGTAGCTCCCCAAAGCTCAGCGTATTTCCAGGTAATGAGTGGACCCGGGCAGATTATACATTTATTATGCTACCCACTGGCATGTTAAAAGGAAATCACCCCACTTTTCAGGATGTTTGAGAATTTAAAAAAAAAAAAACAACTTACCTTTGTTTAACATTGGATGCAATAAATGAGCTTGGTTTTAAAAGATTCGACATTTAGCGTTCTATTTGAGAAGCTGCATCATATGCATGAGCAGATTCGTAAGTCTAAGTAAGGAAAAAGCAAACCTGAGTGTTTATCAGGGTGTCATTTCTCATTCAGGATTCCTGAAGTATTTATTAAAAATAAAAACAAAAAACCATAAAATGGTAAGGAACTCATGACACTATAGCATTCACCTTAAGCAATAATGCTATAGACTTTTTTTTTCTTTTTTTTTGAGACGGAGTCTCACGTTGTCACTCAGGCTGGAGTGCAGTGGCGTGATCTCAGCTGACTGCAACCTCCACCTCCTGGGTTCAAGCGATTCTCCTGCCTCAGCCTCCCGAGTAGCTGGGATTACGGGTACTCACCAACATGCCTGGGTAATTTTTGTATTTTTAGCAGAGATGGGGTTTCACCATCTTGGCCAGGCTGGTCTTGAACTCCTGACCTCGTGATCCACCCACCTCGGCCTCCCAAAGTGCTGGGATTACAGGCATGAGCCACCGCGCATGGCCTATAGACCTTTTAATCTTTTAATGAAACCACCTCTATTTATGACATCATTGGGATACTATCAAAATATTGTTAGCTTTACAAGCTGACATCACTAAACATTTACTGAGTTGCTGCCTTAATACTGAACCACACACCTTTGACTCACATAAATCATATGTGGCTCTATTGCTTCCTCACAATGTTATTGATAGAATTTGTATGAGCGTGCCGTACAACAAGTACGCCTGCAATTCATCAGCATTCAAAATCCATTCTGTGTTGAGGGAACAGCTTTGCCGTTTTGCCTTAGCAAAACGTTGCTTTCTCTGCAGTTTTCCTTGAAACATTATAATTTGAACTTTGGTGTGTGTTCCTTTACAGCCATTTTCCCCTTACTTCTAGAATATCATCAAAGAAAGAAAACTGAATGCGTTTTCTTTTTTCGCTTGTTCTAACTTGGTAGTTTTTGGTACTACTTAAGAAATCACAAAATAATTTGAATTTTGAATTTCTGTTTTTACGGTTAGCAAAATTTACTGACAATGGAACAGATTCTCTCTGTGGAAGAAACTCAAATTAAAGACAAAAAATGCATTTTGTTCAGAATAAAAGGAGGGAAGCAATTTGTCTTGCAATGTGAGGTGAGTTTTTATTTATTTTTTCTTAGGTGAATGTTAGAATAATTAAATGTTCAGCGAAGTTGGCTGCCTGGCTATAAAACATTTTCTTACGCCATGTTTTATCACTTACAGACTTAGTAAGAAAGCCCCAAGGTACAAGGTTTTCAGGAAATTAATTGTTATTTTTTAAAAAGGCAAACATCAGAAAATGGAAGGAGGATGCACATAAAATAATGCCATTACCCTATCAGGAAAATCTGCTCAGTGTTTAATGGGGCCTAGAATTTTATTTGTTCTATAACTTTGAAGATTTTTCAGCATGTTCGATGTTAAGGTTTATGTATTTAGATAAATATAAGATGGCAAGCTGAAATGCCATCTTCTCTAAAGGAAAATGCCATCTTTTCCTCAAAGTTACGTTATAACACAAATTTCATTCCTGGACACTTTGCGACTGGTGTACTAGTGTGTGCCTGTTTTAAGAGAGCATATTTAGAGAAATAAACACGTCTTAGATGCAAAAAGTCATTTTTACTAACGTCATTACATACATGAATATATATTAAAAATTTTTTTTGTCAAAACTCCTTCCCCTATATTATAGATTTCAGTTGTTTTCGAAATCAAAGATAATCTCTAAAAAATGAAAGGCAGTGCTTCTCAGAGTGGGATTGTACTGGAATCATCTGAAGGGTTTTCATGTGGCCTTTCCCTGCTCTTTTCAAGAGATTCTGGAGAAGGTGGCAGCGCGGCCCATCAGCTAGTAATGCCACTGGGGGTGGACACTTAGGGTGTGCTTCCTTCAGAGGTTCCAGGGATGCTGGTAATCAATAGAGGCACCCACCGCTATTGGCAAAGTGGGTGAGCCCGTCACCACGTCTGCCTTTGTGTTCCCCCTCAGAGTGATCCAGAGTTTGTGCAGTGGAAGAAGGAGTTGAACGAAACCTTCAAGGAGGCCCAGCGTCTCTTACGTCGAGCCCCGAAGTTCCTCAACAAACCTCGGTCTGGCACTGTGGAGCTCCCAAAGCCATCCCTCTGTCACAGAAACAGCAACGGCCTCTAGCACCCGGAAACAGGGAGGGTCCTTGCGGAGGACACACCAGGGTCTCAGCCTTTTGGGGTGAACGAGGATGAGGCATCTGATCTATTCGCTACCGGGACTCCTCCAGGCTCCCGAGAGGAGTCGGGACCCTTCGGCTCAGGGTCAGCTCAGCTCCCTGCCTTGTCACATTTGTCCACATTCAAAACTACTGAAGAAATAAAAGTTCTTTTTCTTTGCTACACACTTTGGTACCTATGAACCTAGAACTTGAAGTGACTCCCACTTATCACGTACATTTTTATGTCTGATATCAAACACGTCTTAGACTTTCCAGGATGGAATGTAAAGATGTTCAGTGTTGGGTAGCAGACTGCCCTAAGCATTGCCGCATTTTATCTCTAGTCACTGCTGATTGTCTGTGTCTTTGCTCTGTACTACTGGGGGATGGGAGAGCCACAGTGTTTCCTTTGCACACTTCACAACTGACTTCTTGTCCTGGGGTTAAAAGTTGAAGATATTTCTGCACTCGGGCCCTCCTCTGGGAGCTGCACCCACGTGACTGCCCTGCCTCTCACCAGTCTGTTCCGGGGCCCCCTCGGCCAGGTGGGAATGATGGACACGTACTCTCCAAGTGTATGGATTAACTAGTCATTGAAGGCATTCGTCCGTCCATCACTGGAAAGATTTGCAATGATTCTGAAGGACAGGGAGTGGAGTTTTAGGTTTCAGGGGCAAGAGCAGTTTTCAGAAGTCTTTGAGTCCAGTGTGCACGAGTCGACAAGCAGTACCTGGCGTGCAGAAGCACTCGTGGGTGAGTCCATCTTGGGTCTCGACAATTAGCAGTTGTGTGACAGTCATTCTGGTTCCTTCTGCCTGACCCTGGGAGACATATCAGAAATGGATGTACAAAAGCAGGTCTGTTTTACGTTGTAGTATAATTTAAGATGAATTGTATTGAAAAAATGCTGAAGAATGAATGTATCAAAATGGGTTAACTGTGTATATTGACGTTCATGTTGTCATCCATCTGTCATGAATGAGTGATACTTTGCACTGGACTGTATGACAGTGAGGACCTTAGGGCATGAAGCCTTTTTCCTGGTCCCTGCAGCGTCTGCCCCGTGAAGTTTGTTTTCTCCCACTGCCTCCAGGCCCCACTGATACCCCCAAATAGATGCTGGGTTATGAGAACCAGCAAAGTCCCCCATGTCATCAGTCTTAAAAAAAATAATTTTCCAAGTCCACGTATTTGTCCCATTCTTGGAGTAGTTTTAGTGTATGTCTTTACTAACAGTATAAATCACTTGACATCATAATGGTCTGCATCCTGTCCTTGATATTTTTAACGGTTCTAAATCTTTGTTTTTATATTTGTGTGCTGTGTTCATGGGCAAAGTAAGTGCTTTTTAATGCAGTTATTTTGAGAGTTTGGAAGATAAATTACCAAAAGGGTCCATTATTTCATAAGAGTTACTTTGCAAAAAAAATGTGGGGGTTTGTTGTCTATCTTAACTACTAGTTGGGGTTTAAATGAACGTACATTTTCTACTATCTGTTATTTCCAGTGTGGGAGGAGGGATGTACTACTTATATGCATTCTCCTTATTTAAAAAGGAATAGTATTCAAATTCTGTTTAAACACACACACACATAGACACACACACACACACACACACACACACACACACCCTAGAAGCAGGAAAGCCTTTGTTCTTAAAGAGTGAATGCCTTCCCAGCCCTGGTTAATTATAGCTGTGACTGATGCCGTTCCTGTCTGTATCTCAAGCTCATAGGTTCTCAGCACGTGCAGTTGAGGATGCGCTGGGCCTCATGCCTGTTCTCCAGGATAAAGGGCCTGCTGTTGACTCCACCAGGGCCTGGACTTAGCGTCTAATGTCTCGTACCTAGGGCATGAGCTACACAAATGTGTTCCGAAAGATTATTCAACTTTCCCACACTTGTTCTAAAATTGAGCTGATCTGCATCTCTTTCAAAAACTAGAATTTCTGCTCTAAGAAAAGAACACAAAGCTCCTCTCCCTTTTAGAAAAGATATATGAATTGGAAAATACCCTGAAAGTCCTTTTGCTTCAAACAAAAGTGTAAACTTTTACACTTCCCCAACTCACATTTGATTTGTAATGATATGGTTGAGAAGTACATCTAGATGTCATTTATTTAAAGTCCTTTGTAAGACTAGGTTGAGCTGCTTCTGAGGGCAGTCACCCGTTGTGTTGGGGTCTGGTTTGAATGTCTTCTGCCAAAGTGTTGTGATGGAGGTGTTTCTGCTGCACCGGGTTGCCTGCGTGGCCAGAGGAAAAGTCAGTTGGATTAAACATCGTGGTATACTTGGGCTGATTTTTTTTTTTTAATTTTTTAACTTTTTGGGATAGGGCCTCGCTCTGTCACCCAGGCTGGAGAACAGTGGCATGATCATGGCTCACTGCAGCCTTGAATTCCTAGGTTCAAGCAGTCCTCCCACCTCAGCCTCCTGAGTAGCTAGGACTACAGGTGCATGACACTTTTCCTGGCTAATTTATTTTTTGGGTAGAGATAGGGGTCTTGAACTCTCAGGCTCAAGCGATCCTCTTTCCTCGGCCTCCCAAAATGCTGGAATTAGAGATGTGAGCCACCATGCCCAGCCGTAGTACTTGAATGTTTTAGAAGGTTTTCCAAGTGTTACTTAAGTCCTAGATGTTCACCCTTCTTACACTCCAACTATTAAAAAGGTCAAAATTCAGCCTACATTTTTTCATTATTTTAGATTTCTGTGGTTGGGATATTTTAACATTGATGAGAAAAATAATTGAGTTTGGTATTTTTACAAAATCATGCTGTAATAAGTCTTGATTTCATGATTCAAAAGAATCAACAAAGCCTAAAAATAATAGATTACTTTAAGCTGCTATGTAAGATACATATGGAATAAATTAAAAACTTTGTGAATCCAGGTTTATTATTTTTCACCTAAAACATTCTCTTTGGTTCATTCATGCCCTCATGTCTTGGGGGCTCCTTGGTTTTCCTTCTTTGTCATATTTAAGTATGATTTTTCAACAAAACTTCTAGAAGTCAGCTTATTATGTCAACGTTCACGCAAAGTGCTTATGCCTCTGATTGGTCCATTCACTGACGTGACAATTTCAAATCCTATGTTCACAAAGAAGGGGCCAGCCAGGCGCGGTGGCTCATGCCTGTAATCCCAGCACTTTGGGAGGCCTAGGGGGGCGGTTCATGAGGTCAGGAGATCGAGACCATTCTGGTTAACATGGTGAAACCCTGTCTCTACTAAAAATGCAAAAAAAAATTAGCCGGGCATAGTGGTGGGTGCCTGTAGTCCCAGCTACTCAGGAGGCTGAGGCAGGAGAATGGCCTGAACCCGGGAGGCAGAGCTTGCAGTGAGCTGAGATCGCGCCACTGCACTCCAGCCTGGGCGGCAGAGCGAGACTCCGTCTCAAAAAAAAAAAAAAAAAAAAAAGGGGGGGGGCTAAATATCCAGTGAGATGCACCGAGGAAAGGAAGCATTTTGCTCAAGACAGCAGCAGCAACCAACAACCGTCTGTTTGTTGCAAACAAGATGTAGCTTGATTTCTGGTCTGACATATGCCATCTGTGGATATTAGAAACAACTGTTTGAAGGCCACATTGGCCATCTACAAAGTAATGTTTACCAATTAACAGGGATTTAACTAGATTAAAAAGATCAAAGTGTGGTTTTTCTCTGCTTTTTAAAATTTCACTCGGAATTTGTAGCTGGGCCAATTCAACACGTTTTACTTTTCAGTGGAATTGATTTTTCTAATGTTTCAGAATTTTAACATATCAAGAAGAAAACAACGCTCTCAAAGTCTAGCCTTTTTCGCGTGATGTAAACCTATAGAAATGCTTTGAAATGTGCTGGGGTAAGATAAGAGTTATCTCGTATGATTTAATCGTATGCAGTGTTGTCTCAGTTATGTTCAGGGAAATGTTTCTGTGTCATTCAGAGATGCTTGATGAATTCACACCTCCCACCCTGAGTGAGGGGTTGACTTGTTGGGAAATGATTTGGGCTTCACTGGGATCTGTGACAGGTGGGGGCTGGGCTGGGTGTCACAAAGAGAATAGTGGTAGAAATGGGGCGAAGGAAGAAAGAAGTTGCTGGTAAAAATCATTACACCATAAAGCACCAAGCAAATAACTGAGTTAAGATAGGTGAAGTTTTTTTCCCCCCCGTAACAGGAGATTTTTCCTTATGCTAATTATTCTAAGACTTGGTCACTTTGTTTTTGAATGTGGAGCTGCTGAACTCATTCAGAAGCTATTTGCTGTCTGTCAGGACCTTCTGAAGAAGTTCTTTTGCCTCTGCCTACCCTCTGGCACCCTCCCATGAAGGCACAGGTGACCTAGAGCTAAAGCATTACCGGGCCATCTCCAAAACACCCTGAATGTGTGTGTGCACTTTGCAGCCCCCGAGGTGGAGAGGCAGTGTCTGGATCACTGTGAATTCATTGCCCCATTGGTCAGTTGGGGACACTGTTACAAATCCTCATTGTAGTCCTGGTAAAACTGTCAGAATAACAGGCCTCTTCTGTTCTGCCCTGCTCACTTCTACGGTGAGTTACCAGCCTGGGCAACATAGCAAGACCCCATCTCTACAAAAAATTTTTTTAAAGTAATTAACAGTTTAAATTTTTTCCTAAAGATTTAATGTGATTTTTCCCTCCTATGTAAAGTTTACTGGAGAGACTTGAATTAATTATTTAAATTCATGTTAATATGATTTTTTAAAAGTCCAGGTCACATTTTAACAAAGTTTATTATGGAGCAAAGGAAATTTGAACTCTAAAATGGTACTCCTTGGCTTCCTCTAGTCATAATGAACTTTATATTTTCTTTGTCCTTAGGAACTAAGATAGTTGTTTTACTTTAGCAGAATAACAGAGATTAGCACTCCTGCAGGCCCCCACCGCTGGCCTAATGGGGTCTTTCTGACCTAGCTGTGTTAGCATCGATTGAGAAATGCAAGGTCCTAAATTTTAAATTGCCTTTCTTACAAACACAAAGAAACTATAGAAAATGGGTTAAGAGTATATGCATTTCATCAAACACAGAGAGAGAAAAAAAATCCTTCATTTTAGAGTTAAATAACTCAGCTTTGTGTAGCAGAGTTAGCTCTCCAGTATCTAGCAATCTCAAAATCATCTCTGAAAACTGGTAACTATGCTTCCATTTTTAATTTTGTCCTAAATACCAGATGTCTTTGATGTAAGGGTAGGGAATGGAGAAATATTTTCAATTGTGTATTTGTATTACAAAGAACTTGAAATTTACTTTCTTAGTTGATTATATTAAATGATGTATATATTATATGTGGTTTATAAGCTCAACACTGGCCATTTTTTTAGTTTTATTGTTAAATGGTATTTTTCTATGTTTAATTATAATAGATTTGGCTTTTTCTGGATAGCATAAAGATCACTGATATATATATATATAAGAAACAAGAGTTCTATTTTAGCACAAAAGCATTTTATATTAT